GAAGGTTTATCACGCGCGTAACATACGGACGGGAGAGAGCGTCGCCATCAAGGTTGTGAGCAAGCAAAAGGTGGCCAAGGGAAACCTCGCGGCGCACGTTAAGCGAGAGATTTCTATCATGCACCGGCTTCGTCACCCTAACATCGTGAAGCTCTTCGAGGTGCTCGCCACCAAGAGCAAGATCTATTTCGTGTTGGAGTTCGCCAAGGGTGGCGAGCTATTCACCAAGGTCTGTAAAGGTCGATTCAGCGAGGATCTCAGCCGTCGATATTTCCAGCAGCTCATCTCCGCCATCGGATTCTGCCACTCCCATGGCGTATTCCACCGCGATCTCAAGCCCGAGAACCTCCTTCTCGACGAAAATTGGGACCTCAAGGTCTCCGATTTTGGCCTCAGCGCCCTCACAGATCAAATCCTACCCGACGGCATGCTGCACACCTTATGCGGCACCCCTGCCTATGTCGCTCCCGAGATCCTCGCTAAGAACGGCTACGATGGTGCCAAGGTCGATATCTGGTCCTGCGGAGTCATTTTGTACGTTTTCAACGCCGGATATCTTCCTTTCAACGACACAAATCTTATGGTCATGTATCGCAAAATTTACAAAGGTGAGTTTCGCGTCCCTAAATGGACCTCTCCTGATCTTGACTGCTTGCTCTCTCGCCTCCTCGACACGAATCCGGAGACAAGGATCACAGTCGACGAGATCCTCCGTGATCCCTGGTTCAAGATTGGGTACAAGGAGAGGCAGTTCCATTCAGACGATCTGGATTTGGTAGAACCTACAGACTCCATATATCTAAACGCATTCGACATAATTTCCTTCTCCTCCGGTTTTGATCTCTCCGGCTTGCTCAACAGCGGCAGATCAGAATTTCACGACCGATTCGTCTCCGGCGAGACACCTGAGAGGATAGTGGAAAAGATGGAGGAGGTGGCGAAACAGGAGAATTTGAAAGTTACGAAGAAAAAAGAATGGGGTCTGAAAATGGAGGGACAGAACGGTAATTGCATAGCCGTTATAGAAATACACAGGTTAACGGAAGGGCTGGTAGTGGTGGAGACGAGAAAGAGAGAGACGGAGGCAGGACGTACTGGGGGAGATATATGGAAAGACAAGGTTAGGCCACAGCTTCGTAGTTTGATTTATGAACCGGAAGAGCAGGTCTCCGGTGATTCCAACAACTAACAGTTTAGTGTTCAAATTGGCCGGGGTCCCAGTCCCTCAAGACATTGTAACTGAAACAGAAAGAAGAATTCGGGGTTCCCTGTATTATGTTTTTGCCCTGGACTAATTTCATTGATCATAAAGAAAAAAAATATATATATATATATTAATTATGAATTTAAGTAAATTTGATATATATATTATAAATATATTTTTACAAATAATTTAAATTAAACTAATTATATTTATAATACTAACCATTCTGCAAGATTTTCGTAGGCCATTTTATTTTTAATGATTCCAACATTTTTTTAGGTAATATCTGGTGGTATTAAAATTAATGTTTCTGTATTATAGTATTTGCATATTTATGGAACATACCACAATAGAAAAACGAGAAATTTATATTATTTTATATGAAAAGTTGATCAAAAGATCAGCAGAAGGAGAATGAATAATATGTTATCACATAGAAATATGTTACCAAAAGTTTATATAATATGTAGTTACGGAATTTGTTATCAAATAAATATAAATCACATAAAAATATAATCATACTCACATTGTACTTTTATATTTAAAAAATTTAAATAAATAACTATTATATATTATTATATTAAATAAATAGATACAGGTTATCTATATTATCATGTTTGTTTTACTTTAATATATATATATATATATATTAAAAAGTAAATAAACATTATTATATTTTTATTGTATTAAATATAAAATTATTTAAAAAATAATAATTGACAGTGTCAATTTCTGATTTTACTCATATACATGTAGTTACTTAAATGCACTTGTAACATTTAAATGTTTTTCTTGCATTTTGATTTATTTAAATTTAATTTACAATTGGTTAATTAGGACATTAATCAATCATACTTCATTAATAAAGTTTTACTAATGATACAAAATATTAAATTAGATTAATAT